AACAAACCTGGGTCCATGCTTGTAATTCCAGTGCTTCAGGATGCTAAGGCAGGAGGATCACAAGTTCACGTCCAGCTGGGCTGGGATATAGCTCAGTGCAAAGAAGCTGAGTTCAGTCCTCAGTGCTAGGAAAAATAAGGGGCTGGGAATGGGTAGCTCAGGGGTAGAAAATGTGTTTAGCACTCTGAGTTTAATCCTCGGCACAAAATAAAAATACCCTCAAGAGCTGGTTGGAGGAAAAATGACAAATCAATGGTCCAATGTTCATTCTGGCCATAGGAAAAGACTGAAATCTCTAATCATTTCAAATGCTGAGCGTTGGGAGTATAGAGCTCTTGCCTACCATTTACAAGGCCCTGGATTCACTCCCAAATACTGCAAGAAAAGTAATTATGCTGATTTCATTAATATTAAAACCTTGTCGGGCCAGGGATATATACAGCTCAGCAGCACAGCACTTGCATGGCAAGTGCAAGGTCATGAGTTCGATTCCTGGTACAAAAAAACCTTGTAAATATACACAAATGTAGGAATCAAACTAATTTATACATATAGATGTATATGTATGAAATATCAGGAGCCTGGCATGGCGGCACAAATTTCAGGCCACCCTGGGCTACATAGTAAGTTCAAGACCAGCCTGAACTATATGGTGAGACCCTGTCTATAAATCAATAAATAGCATCAGAACACATTTTTCTTTTGAGACAGGGTCTCACTATGTACTTCAGCTGGCTGCGAACTCATGGCAATCCTCCTGCCTCAGCCTCTAGTGCTGGGGATTACAGGCCAGAACCACCACTCCCAGCTTTTTTTTTTTTTGGTACTGGGAATCGAACTCAGGACCTTGCCTTGCTAGGCAGATGCTTATGCTGCTGAGCTATATCCCCGGCCCTACTCCCCGCTTTTGATTAAATTTAATCAGTGATTTTTTTTTTTTAAGTCCTTAACTAAAAGTTATTTGTGGGACAGGAGACTCGCCAAGAGTTTGAGGCCAGCCTAGGCTACATAGTGAGACCCTGTTTCAAAAAAAATAAAACAGTAGTAAGTCGATATCCTAATTGGTTAAACACTAAGATAATTTTAATTAAAATAACTACAGGGATGTCCACTAAAATTGGTTTTAGTGCATTTAGAAGGACTGAAAAGGAAGAAAAATTACTTGTTTTTTAAAAAAAAACCCTCTGCCTTTTTGTATGCAAAACGGGGGGGAAGGGGTGCTACAGATTGACCCCAGGTCCTCCCAACTGGTAAACACATGCTCTACCACTGAGTTACATCCCCTAGCCAAAGTTATCCTAAATTTACTGAGAAGAAAAGTGCCTAAGAAGCCAAGCATGGTGACACACACCTGTAATCCCACCACTTGGAAGGATGAAGCAGGAGGATCACCACAAGTTTGAGGCAAGCCTGAACTACATAGTGAGACCGTCTCAAAAAAAGAAAAAAAAAAGAAAAAGTGCCCAAGAATAGCTGATAGTTGCTTTAAATGGAAGAGCCAGGTGTGGTGGCACATGCTTGTGATCCCAAGTCTCTGCAAGGCTGAGGCAGAATGATCAAAACTTCCACCTCAGCCAGGGCAACTGGTGAGCTGGTGATCTCAGCTTCTTTGCACTGAGCTAGTTCCACTTCAGCCAGGGCAACTTCACTTAGCAACTTAGTGAAGGCCCTGGGTTCAGTGCCCAGTAGTCAACTAAACGGAAAATAAAGCCAGCACAACTGGAAAAATTAAGAAAAATTGGATACCCGGTTTATAGCACAACATATAAAAGAAAAATGAACTGGATGAATTGAAGTAAAAATTAAAGTGAAGTTTAAATTCCACTGAGCCAGGAGGGTTGCAAGTTCAAGGCCAGCCTAGACAATATAGCAAAACCCTGTCTCAATCCAGTACACTGAGAGACTGAGGTAGGAGGATCAAAAGTTCAAGTCCAGCCTGGGCAACTTAGTGAGACCTTGTCTCAAAAATAAAAAGGACTGGAGATGTAGTTCAGTGCAAAAGGTTTTGGATTCAACTCCCAGTACCACAAAAAGGGGGGGGGGAGATAAAATATTATGCACCCATTAAAAGTGACTTGGCACTTTACCAGGTGAGGTACTGGTACATGGAATTTATTGAACAAAGTTCCACAAATTTGTGCATAATATCCAATTTTGATATAACAGTGACCAAAACCCAGGGATCCTTATGGCTTGTATGTGTGTGTCTATTATGCATTCATGATAAAATTGTGTATGGATACATAATAGTTATTTTTCAAAACAAATACTAAGACTAACTCATTGCAACAGCAAAGCAAAATTAAATCCTCAAAATAAAATCTTAATGAGCTATCAACAATCTTTCCCCTATATATCATAATTTTATTATTTTTCCCTATGCTTGTATGTTTATATATAAAGGCCCTAACTTGTTTGTTCTGAAGTCATTTTCTCCTAGTCTACTTTTCTATCTCTAGGCATCTGCAGATACTGTTCTCCCCCAAAGCACCCCACCCTTTAAACCCCAGCTTAAATGCTGCCTCCTTTAAGAAACTTCCCAGCCAGGTGAGGTGTGCAGACCTGTAATCCCAGCACTGAGATAGGAAGATTGCAAGTTTGAGTCCCATCTGGGCAATTTAGCAAGACCTTGTGTCAAAAGTTTAAAGACCTGGAACTCAGTGATAAAGTGTTTCTGGTTCCAGTACAGAAAAAAAAAAAAAAAAAAAAAAAAAAAAAAAAAAAAAAAAAAAAAAGAAAGAAAGAAAGAAAGAAAGAAAGAAAAGAAACTTTCCCTTGGAAGCCCATAACAGGAAGCATGGACAACCCTGAATTTTATTACCACCAGTTCTCCCCCCACCCCCCTCCTCCCCCCCAGGGGGAATTGAACTCACAACGTCGCGCTTGCCAGGCAAGTGCTGTGCCACTGAACTAAATTCCCAGCTCCCAGTTCTCCCCTTGCTTGAAGCACATCCAGCTCTACCTTGTGTGACAGTGTCTTGTGTGCTCCTCACCTGTCCCATTGAACTGGGGAGTTCCTTGGGGTAGGAACTCTCATAAGTATATCCTCATGGTGCCTAGAATGCACACAGTAGGCACTTTATAAGTTCCAATGTAAAAAGATATGTAACCTTCCTGCCTCTCTTGTATTGAGTGACCTTAAGATAGTGTGTATTAAATTAGCTGAGATGAAGGGGTTGGATGCTTGGACTTTGGAAGAGGTCAAAGCTGGAGAGGAACCACTCAAGTCCTGAGTAACCTCCAGATCACCCAAATCTACCCTGTACCCGATTCCTCAGGTTCTTCCAAGTGCTCAGAAAGGAACAACCCACA